TCCCCTCCGCTGTAAAATAATTCATGGACAAGCTGCCCCTCATACCTGCATACGAAATTTACCAACGATGCATGCAACTCGGGTAGAGGGTAGAGGGTACTTCTCACTCCTTACCCACACTCACTCCGTCTCCATCCCAATGTCCTGCCTGGGACATACACTATAATGCCACATACACCACATGTGCTACTGTGGGGACACCTCCATCCCCCTCCCCCTCTACCCTAAAATACACCCAATGTACCCATTCCTGTCTCACTATCCAACCCCAAGTAGCACAGGGTAGACTGTCCGGGGCCACTAGACATTGGTGGATGGGGCATGCACAACATCCCACAAACCCCTCAATACATAGCCCGGGTACTATTGAGTCATAGCAGTGTAACAGGGCGGTAACTGCAATGCCTTACCTAAGATAGTGAGCGCACTGCCAGAGAACAGATCAACATATGACAGGCAAACACCTGAATGTCTATAAATTACAATCGTTAAAGCACATCACCCAGCGAGAAGCGAACATACTACTGAAGTGCCCTCCCACCCCCTTACTCCATCTCCACCAAATATCTGCGACACACCGAGAGAGGGGAACCCCTTTTTTGGTCATAGCCCCACCCCTCCCCCCTGACGCACAGCACCTTGCTAATGATCTAAAAAACGTTAGCTCCACCTCACAGATGGACATTGGGGACCTTACTAGATATCACCCCCTGGTACCGGCTGGTACTGGTACCGCGGCAGTAATGCTAAACTGACCATCCCTAACCCGTAACTCACACACAGCGACACGGATTTGAAAATCACCCCTCCTATAGCCCAATATGGGGGGTTCACTACTGACATTTAGAAGACCCCACCTAGTCTTCCACTTCCTCTAACTGGACATCACCCCGTACCCTACCGACCCACACCAGTCCATGGCATGACAAAAGCTCTAGCCACAAAAGTCCCACCCAAAAATGAAGCCCCACACCATTCCATCCAAATTCACACTATTGGATTGGCTCCCAGGAGACCATAGCACACAGTAGCAACTGTATTCCACACTCACACAGGGAACTAGACGGTTCCTCTCTCTGCCTGCCTACAGCACGACGGGTATGCAGACCAATCACTTCCTAACATAGGTCTGAGTGACCTTTCCACAGTGAGCACCAGGTACCCCGGTGGTCAGAATTAACCACTTTGGGTACGTCACCAAAGGAAACCCCCTACCGTCTGGATGCCTGGCTTTGCCTTGTTGCACACGGACAGCACAAATGGACAGCAATCTTCATTGTACATAGTTACAGTATATAATCACCATTTTCTTCCTTTCTCCCTCTCTAGGGATCCCATATTCCCCTCTCTCCCCCGACGACAACTGCCACATTAAATACTCATCGTCAGGGGCCTCAACACCCCTTAAAACACTCCATGGCTCTCAATGAACTACTCACACTTAGGGCAGACATATCATTCCTGCAAGAGAAACACTTTAAAAAAAGAGACAGCTTCTACCCTCAGAAACAGAAGGTTCCCAACTGGCTACTTTAGCAACTTCACTGACACTATGTCAAGAGGGGTAGTAATCCTGTTCTCTGCTCATGTGCCCTTCACATACACCTCCCAAAAGTCTGACGACACTGGGAGGCTGCTCATGGTCAAAGGCCAAATAGGCCAGACTACAGTCACACTTGTAAACACATATCTCCCCAATAGACTCCAATGCAACGTGTTCAAAAAACAGCTCAAAGCCATAGAACAATTCACTGAGGGTATTTTAATCCTTGGTGATGACCTCAATCTCTCACTGGACTCACAACTAGACACAACATCACGCGCCATAGAGTACCAAACCTCAGCGCAAGCACAGATGGCCAAATTATTTGATAGCGGACAATTATACGACTGTTGGCGCACCACACATCCATCAACTAAAGACCTTTCATTCTTCTCACCCACATCGCACACATACTCTAGACTTGACATGTTTTTCCTCCCACACAGATTCCTACACCTAGTACAATCCACTGACTATGGCTCCATCACGTGGTCAGACCATGCACCCCTGTCTCTAGCCCTACCAATATCCACCATCCCACAAAAATCATTCCAATGAAACTCAACGACCTTCTCAATAACCCGGATATTGTTTCGCAGCTCAGAGACGCTATAAGCAACTACTTCACCATCAACACTATCGCATCCTTACCCCCACCTATCACATGGGAAGCACACAAATGTGTACTGAGGGGAGAAATAATAGCGCTAGCAGCAAGACACAAAAAGATCAGAGAGGCCAAAATTTGAACACTTACAGAGTACATAAGGAAGCTAGAAACCAAACACAAAATGAAACACTCCTACTACACACATGGAGGTAAATGTGGCTGCCTGCTAGCCAATTCTCTAAAACAACAGAGGCAGTCGACCTTCATATCCAAAATTAAAACCCCCTCAGGAGCCATATCATATAAACTCCCAGACATACTGTCAGCCTTCCAAGATTTCTATACCACGTTTTACAATCTGAGAGATTCCCCCCCACCGACTCAAGACATTGAACGCTTCCTGGCCTCCAGGGTCCACAAGACTATTCCCGCAAACATCCTTCCAACACTAGATGCACCTATATCCTCCGACGAAGTCGCTTTTGCTACACGACACCTCAAACTGGGGAAGAGCCCAGGGCCCGATGGCTTTACGGCCATACCACAAAACATTCACAACCTCCCTAACTGAATCCTTCACATAAGCATTTAACTCCCTTGCCAAGTCTACCGCCTTCCCTACGGCATACCTGGAGGCTTATATAGCCCTCATACCCAAACCCGGCAAAGACCCAACCAACTGTGGTAGCTATCGCCCAATCTCTCTGATAAACCTAGACGTGAAATTATTTACAAAAATACTGGCCACCCGCCTGAAACCTCTGCTCCTAACCTTGATGCACTCCGACCAAGCAGGCTTCGTCCCCAAAAGAGAAGCTAGGACAACACCACAAAAATTTTAAACCTGATATATATATGGCACAACGCCTACCGACTGAGAGCCTCCTGCTCTCAATTGACGCGGAAAAGGCGTTTGATAGGGTGGACTGGTTGCTACTGACAGCCATCCTGAGAAGGTCAGGATTTTTCCCAGGTGGATGGAGTGGATGGAGGCCATCTACTCCACTCCCACAGCTCGACTAAGGGTAAATGGACAACTCTCAGAACCAGTATACATACATACAGTATGCCCCTTTTCCCCCCCTACTCTTTATTATCTTACTAGAACCCTTCTTAAACGGAGTCAGGGGCAACCCAAACATCAAGGGCATTCAAATACAAAATGCAGAGTACAAAATCTCAGCGTTCGCTGACGATCTACTCTTCACCATACAAACAGATGACACTTTGTTGCCCCCCCTCTTAGAGGAAATCGCCCTGTACCATAAACTTTCCAATTTTCAAGTTAATTTCTCGAAAAGCAAAACCTTACCAATTCAAATACCCCCCATGCACATACCTGCAAGCCGAATTTCCCTTCACATGAGCAGATAAATCCATTACGTACCTAGGAGTTTGCCTATCAGCAAACCTATCATCCATCTTTGCCCTAAACTACGACCCACTATACCAAGCTATCTCGAGAGACCTACAAACTTGGCATAAACCGCAGTTCTCATGACTCTGTAGAATCAACATTCTTAAAATGAACTCCCTCCCTAAGATATTTACCAATAGCAATACCAAAGCTTAGGCAACTTTTCACCACCTTTATATGGGCACAGAAACAACCTAGAATCCCATATGAGGTTCTCATCAGACATAGGTCCTGTGGTGCACTGGGCCTCCCACTCATGGAATGATACTATAAGGCAATCATTCTTTCCAGAATCCAAGACTGGTCCACACATCCACCGACACGTCAACTCTTGAAAGCGTGGTAAGTCTAGTACCTCTCTACACACTCCCTTGGCAGAGAGTAATCCCCTCAAAACTGCTCTCATGTTGCTCCGCACACCCCACCATTCTCCCCACACTCAAGACATGGGTGAGCATGCGGGAAGCTGAGAATATTTCCCCACACCCATCCCCACTCTTTCCCATCACATACAATCCACTCTTCCCCCCAGGAATGCAACCCGGGACATACCAACGATACACTAAAACGCTTGACGCCCCCTACCTGACACTATGGTTGTGGTTGAGAACAACTCCATACGAACACTAGCTAGTCTGGTGGGCCCTGAGGCTTTGCATACACTAAAAGCATTTCACTACGCCCAGTCGACCCACTCTTTAATGGCCAACACAACCTTGCTCGGGGGCTCCCGCACCCTGTCCAATTTTGAGGCACATTGCCTGACCAACAACCCCAAAACCAAACAGTTATCAACCTTTTACAAACTTCTGCAAGCCGAACATGGGGCAAAGCTACGCCTCTTCACAGACGCCTGGCTAACAGACCTGAACATACAAATCATGATACTCCAATGGCGGACTGCCCTTTCACAAATTCAGGTGACATCCACGTGCACCAGAATCCAAGAAAGTGGATATAAGAGAATATGCAGGTGGCACTACTCTCCTGCCAAAATCCACCATATTTTCCCAAACACACCAGATGTCTGCTGGAAATGCTCCCAACAGAAAACATCCCTCGCACACAACAGGTGGCACTGCCCGCTCACGCAACAATACTGGACCAACATCATGACGATGATCAACACTGTAACAGGTACACAACTGCCTCATACCCCTCACACTCTGTTGTTCCTGATCATACCCACCTTAATTCCCAAGACACAAAGAACCCTCCTGACACATCTCCTTACCTGTAAAGTGGAAACACGCTGAGGTCCCCACGATCAGGGAATGGTTAGCCAAAGTAGACTCAATCAAAACTATGGAAGAGATCCACGCATCCATCTCCCACAGATATACACTCTTCAGGGAAACATGTGAACCATGGGTGAGATTCATGCCCGAGAACTCAGCCTGATTACTCGTAGTTCAAACCCTTCCCTACAGGGATGTTCTCCCGGATGGGCCGACTGCACCGAACGTAGGCAGTATGGCACGTCTTTCTCACACCACCACCTGAGATGGCTAGACCACGAAGCAAGACTTACTACACAGACCACTCAGGAAGCCCAAACTCAGCCGCCCGCTACTCATACGCACACTAGTCCATAACTACCACCATGAAGGGCCACCTCTGGCTTAGCTAAGACATAACCACAATACATTAGGGCGGAAGCGGACAACAGAACCCACGACTGGTCCAGGTAAAAGGAAACGCCCAGTCTCAGTACCAGTTCGAGTCTCAGCCTTGGTATTCGTATCAGTTTCCAATGCTACAATAACAAATGTATAACTCTTGCAAAACTTTATCTTCTATTAATATGTATCAATTTCAAAAATGTATCTATCCAGAAATGTACCTATACACTGTGATGTCAGTTGTCACCCTTGATGCAAATGTTTATGCAAACATCCCCCTTTTTTTACTTCTGTACCCTCATAGTATGATGATGTTTACTCTTGAAAAAACAATAAAAACCTTTAAATAAAAATTTTTTAAAAATTCAAAAATTAAAACGTAGAATTCTCATTGTAGAAATTGAAAAGACCATGAAAACAATATTGAATTATAAATACTACTTGATCAATCCACATGGTAAAATAGGAAAGAGAAAAAGAGAAAGCTTGTTTTAAATTACTATATTAGGGAGTAGAGTCCAGACTTTCTAAAAGGATGCAGAGGTGTGATGAATGAAGACAGTTAACTTATCCATATCCATATTATCCTTAATTATCCTTAACTTTATCCTCAATTTTAGCAAGTACTTTTGTCAAAGAAGAAGGGGAAACACACAACCTTGCCTCAGCAAGAGCCCTACAGGGAGCTAAAGCAATTATACATATAAAGTTGTTCAGAGAGTCAATCAGTTTAAAAAGTAAAAATGTCCAGAGGAATAGATTAGAATAGACTTGCTTACAGAGCTGATGGACTTTAGATTAAAAAGGGAATAACCCAAGGGCCTCATATAAACATAATCTCCCCTCTGATTGTACATGGTCCAGCACAAATAGGTGGGATTGCAAACCATGCAATCCAGGGAGACCAAGGTGATGTACCACCTAAAAAGTGTCTTAAAACTCTTGCAGAGTGGCACATATGGAGGATTACACAGTTGATTCCCAAATGTCAGATCAATCATCAGCATACAATCCCCCCACTCCTCAGCAATCCACTCACCAATGTAAGAAATGTTCCTCTAATACAACAGTAAGGTGAGGCAATTATAAAGCAAATAAATCATACCCTTAGATTATAGTTCTCGAAAACAAAGAGATTTAAACATGGTTAGTGAATTCAAATGAATGCTGGGCAACAGTTTGTACTTGAACTAAAAGTGCATAACTATGTATTTGAATAAAATGAAAAAAAAAAGGTTCTGGAAGTTAAGACATCTTTGAGGATAAATACTCAAATGTGGCTAGGCTACAATCAGTTAAGAGATCAAGAAAACGTTGCAGTTCAGTATCCTGCAATCAGGCAAAAGGACATGCCAGGAGAGAAATTCATTTCCTTAAAATAGAATTAAATGGAGAAAAAATAATATATTATAAGATTTAATTGTTATTAATTATAAAGCACCAACAAATTTCTTAGCGCTATACAATAGGTGGACTATCAGACATGCATTTGAAACAGAATGAGCTGGACACACAGGAACAGATGTTGAGGTCCCTGATCAAATAAGCTGACATTCTTGAAAAATGTTTAGTTCCCTTAGAGTATAACATGTTACCATGCCAATAAAGCAATTTTTTAAAGAATTCGGGTCTCGTGAGGTAAAATAGTCATATAACAATTAGACTAAAATATCTTGAAAACAACTACAACACTAGAAGCCACAAACGACAAGCTAAATGTAGTCTTATGCAAAAAACAAATATATACAGAGAGGTAATAGAATAAAGTGTGATAGCTATAGAGCTATAAACCCCCTGAGTGGAAACCCCTTACACCACTCAACAAATAGAAAGCAAATACATACAATGTAGAGGGTAGGTCACACTTAAAATACGTCTGAAAGAGATAAACAAAGCACGTAATAGTGTAATATTGTCTAGTAAAATAGAATATTGAGGAAGTGAAGTCTGGTACTCACAAGCCTGGAGCCAAATCTCATATGGCTCCCATGAATATCGCCTTGGGACTATTCAAAAGGATGTCCCACTCCTACTTCCACATGAGCTGTTGATTGTTCAAATTGGAATGAGGTCCAGAATCCAATGTGGATCTTAATAAAAAAGTACTTTTATTGTATATAAAAAAGATAGTAAAACTTCATTATTTTAAAAAATACCATTGAACTTTATAGCCATTTGGCAGGACTCACAAATATAGTATATAGCTGTATATTTTGTGTTTTCGATTATTTTTTAAAATAATGAAGTTTTACTATCTTTTTTATATACAATAAAAGTACTTTTTTATTAAGATCCACATTGGATTCTGGACCTCATTCCAATTTGAACAACCAACAGCTCATGTGGAAGTAGGAGTGGGACATCCTTTTGAATAGTCCCAAGGCGATATTCATGGGAGCCATATGAGATTTGGCTCCAGGCTTGTGAGTACCAGACTTCACTTCCTCAATATTCTATTTTACCAGACAATATTACACTATTACGTGCTTTGTTTATCTCTTTCAGACGTATTTTAAGTGTGACCTACCCTCTACATTGTATGTATTTGCTTTCTAAATGTAGTCTTAGTAACTACATTTAAGCCCTTGAGGACATGACGGAAATATTCTGTTTCAGAAGTTGTGTCCTTAAGGGGTTAATTATACAATAAAAGTCTGTTTATATTTCATAATGTACTGATTTTCACCAAATCCTATGGAGATAGACACTCCACTAAGGGATGCATTTGCATATAGTATATATTTACATAAAACAAATTTACAAAATAGGCAACATAGCTGGACTGGAAAAATCTTCACTTTGACTAAATTATAGATTTGATCCAACCCAGCAATTTCCCCTTTCATTTACATACAGCCAGGATGGATCAAATCTGGCAGTCAGTCAACTCACCTCAGTTGTGAATGAATCAACCTCTGAGATTTTTAATTCATATCATATGAGCTGTGTGCACTCCAGCTATTCTAATGTATTCTTAGTTTCTTTCATAATTATTATATGATTTTAATAAACTTCTAGACACGAGTCATTGGCTGTTTCAATGTTATAATAGTTATAACAGTAATTGTAATAACAGACTTGACTATGTATTCAGATGTTAAGCTTCATTTCATGCTTTCTTGGTTTCATAACCAGAAATAAGAATCCTATAAACAGTAATGTAATAAAAAAAGGCCTGTACAAGTTTAGCTTTGCATGTTTTTATTTTTTTAAGACTTGTTCTCATTGCATAAGTTAATTTGCTTCAGAGACTCTTGAGTGGGAAAATACCATATGCCATATTTCTGAAATATAAATCATTCAAGTCATAAAATTAAAAAAAAGAGCATAAAAAATACCTCTGCTGAGTCACACACTATGCCATATAAAGTCTGAATATTAACAACATGTATACACAGTCTAACTTTCATTTTTTATATTGCCTAAGCTTCATTCTGCCCCACTGCTTTTTGGAAGTTGGACTGTAAATTAGATTATATGGGTATCCTTAAAAAACAATTTATACACTACACTTATAATTGTGAATCAACTGACATTTCTATACTAATACTGATACAACGCTATACTGATATCTTTGTGCTCTGCTCCGTTCCTCTTGCCCCACCACCTGTTCCCTCTATCCTATTCCCTCATATCGAATCCGCACTTTGTCTCCTTCTCTTTCTCTGTCTCTCACTAAAATTTTCAATCTCTTCCTCTCTTCTGGCACATTTCCTCTACTCTTCAAACATGCACCCGTAACCTCGATTCTGAAAAAGCACAACCTTGACCATAATTCCCCGTCCAACTACTGCCCTATCTTGTTCCTGCCATTTGTATCCAAGATCCCTGAGAGAGTTGTGTATGCAAGATTGACAGACTTCCTCGAATCCAAATGCTTGACCCGCTTCAATCTGGATTCGGTGCTTGTCACTCTGTTGAAACAGCTGTGACAAAAGTGTACAATGATCTTATCACTGCTAAACCCCATGGCCACTACTCTATCCTAATTCTCCTCGACCTTTCTGCTGCTTTTGACACTGTTAATCATCAACAGCTTCTTCTCATCCTCCGTAATCTCGGTCTACGAGATACTGCTCTCTACTGGTGCTCTTCCTACCTCTCCCAGCACTCATTCAGTGTTTCTTTCTCTGGCTCTGCCTCTTCTCCACAATCCCTCTCTGTTGGTGTTCCCCAAGGGTCTGTCCTTGGTCCCCTATTATTCTCAATCTGCACTGCCTCTCCTGGTAAACTCATCAGCTCCTTCGGCTTCCAGTATCATTTCTGTGCGGATGACATACAAATGTATCTGTCCTCCCCTGATTTCTCACCACCACTCATGGCTCGTGTCTCTGACTGCCGCTCTACTATTTCCAACTGGATGGCTGCTCATTTCCTTAAACTGATCCTGTCCAAAACAGAACTTCTGGTCTTGCCTCCTTCAAGTGTTGCTACTCCCTTGTCTGTGCCCCCCAAGTCAATGGCGCCACTCTACCTCTCAGGCTCATTGCCTGGTGTTTTCTTTGACTCCGACCTCTCCTTCACCCCTCATGTCCAATCAATCACCCAGTCCTGTCGCTTCTATCTCAAAAACATTGCACGCATCCCACTCTATTTAACGCCTGATACGGCAAAGGTACTTGTCCATGCTGCTGTCCTCTCTCGGCTTGACTACTGCAAACCGCTTCTCAGTGATCGTACGTGTTCCCAACTTGCCCTGTTACAGTCTATAATGAATACGCCGGAAAGGCTCATCTTCCTGTCTGCCCACACCTCCCACGCCTCGACCCCTTTGTCAGTCCCTACATTGGCTTCCTGTAAGATATTGGAGTCAAATTAAGATTCTGATACTGGCTTACAAACCTTAACACAATACTGCTCAAACCTACTTACCTTCACTAATACACAAATATGTCCCATCTATGTCCCTACGCTCTGCCGAGACCTACATCTAATCTCTATTCGTACTCCTACGACTGATGCTCACCACCTTA